AGAGAGAGAGAGAGAGAGAGAGAGAGAGAGAGAGAGAGAGAGAGAGAGAGAGAGAGAGAGAGAGAGAGAGAGAGAGAGAGAGAGAGTAGAGAGGAGGTGGAACAAATGACAGAGTGCAGACACACAAGAGGAGAGTGTGGGGAGGAAAAAAGCCAGAGGAGAACGTAGAGGTGAGGGGGGAAGAACTGACATAGTGTTGCAGACACACAAGCACAGGACAATCGACCAAATCAACTTGCGTCAGAATTGATCCTCCTCTACTATCTGCAGTGTTTTTCCAATCCTTAGTGTACAGTGACCATGATTATGATATGCGTCGGGAAGACATGTCATTGACCGTAAAAGTGTTCTAATGTCTGGAAACGAACGAACAAACGAACAAACAAACAAACGAACAAACAAACAAACGAACAAACAAACAAACAAACAAACAAACAAACAAACAAACAAACAACATGAATTTGAAAATGGTGATTCAATCATACTTAGTCTACGCACTTATTTGGAGATGCAGTGTAATTACGAAGTAGCCAAATTGAATGAGGTCCCTGCATTCTATTCCATTAGAAGAACAAAACGCAAGCCAGCATGGAATGAAGAAGCAATAGCAACATTACTAGCCCAGAACACAATCATGATGCAGTGCAGCAAGACCCCAAAGACCACCATCATCACAATCAATAGCAAGTATCATCATCATCATCATCATCATCATCATCATCATCATCATCATCATCGCCGTCACCATCATCGTTGTCATCGTCATTGTCGCCGTCGTCGTCATCATCATCATTGTTGTCCTTGTCGTCGTCGTCGTCGTCATTATCATCATCATCACCACACCATAATTGCCATCGTCGTCATCATCATCATCATCATCATCATCATCATCATCGCCATCGTCATCATCATCATCACCAGCAGCAGCAGCAGCAGCAGCAATCATCCGCAGCAGTGATCAGTGGGAGCAAATCAGCAGCAGCAGCAACATCAGCAGCAGGACGAGGAAAAGAAATCAGCAGCAGCAGCTTTGACAATTTATCATCAACATCGGTACAAAGATGCGAAAACTCATCACGATACAAGAAAGAGCGACAGGCACAAAGCAAGAAAGAAAGAGAGAAAGAAAGACAGAAAGACAGAAAGACAGAAAGGAAGAAAGAAAGAAAGAAAGAAAGAAAGAAAGAAAGAAAGAAAGAAAGAAAGAAAGAAAGAAAGAAAGAAAGAAAGAAAGAAACTTAAGAAAGATGGAAAGCATTCAAAGCAACAAGAACTCGCCACAGACAAAGTCAAAATTTAGACATTCTCTGCCAATGGCGTTGGCAGACCAGGTGTGTGCGTAGACTGATGAAAGATGGATGCTCACCTCTCTGCCAATGGCGTTGAAAGGGAGATCGTGACCCCGCCAGTGTTGCATGCTTGATGGAAAACGACACATTCAAAAGCCGTCGACTCCCGACCAATCAATTAATCAATTGATAAATGAATCAATGGATCGAGAAATCCATGAAGTTGTAAACAAAGAGAACTCATTGATTGATTGATTGATTGATTGATTAATTGATTGATTGAATGATTGATCGAATGATGGATTGATTGAACTGATCACTCCATTTTCTCCCTGGCTTCCTCATGACCCTGATCCGCTGACAATTGATACCATTTCATGGCCTGCACGACATCCTGTGGCACGCCTCTGCCCGCCTCATAACACCTTCCTAAGCTGTACTGTGCCTCTCGAAGTCCTTGTTCCGCGCTTTTCCAGAACCATTTGACTGCAGCCACTATGTCTGGAGCCACGCCAATTCCTCTGTCATACGCCCGTCCCAGGAGGTACTGCCCGTATGGATCACTTTGGCTAGCAGCTTTGCTGTACCACATAGTCCCCATTCGGGGGTTCGCGGCAACCCCCCTTCCATTCTCGTAGGCTAGTCCAATGCAGCATTGCGCCCTTGCATGGTTCTGCATTGCCGCCTTCTGATAAAAATGGAATGCCAATTCCAGATTCTGCTCCACGCCCACCCCTTCTTCGTAGCACGACCCTGAAATAATGTCAAAAAAATCATCAAATTAATGGCGAGAATGCAGAACGTTTGAAAAACACGGACAAAAACAGATGAAACTGACCGAAACAACAGACAAAATGGACAAAAAAGTTGAAAAAACTTGAAAAAAAAAAGGGGGAAAACAGGACAGGAGGTGGATGATGAGGAAATTTGAATTGCACAATTTTTGCACTCCCATTGTGATAGGGGTTACATCTGTACTGTCAGTACTGAGACTGAGCCTGGCTTAGACAGTGTCCTGCTTAGACAGTGTTCCTTTTTAAATTATTCTTCTTGTTCTTTTCACAATTTGCAGCGAATTGCTGCAAATGATATTCAAAGCAAACAGATTCAGAATCAAAGCAGTGGGATCGGACTCGAAATTGTAGGACTCAGAAGCCAGTAGGACTTTTCAGAAGGTAGTGTCGGGGCATAGTCACACTACCTGCAAGTAGCACTTTTCACTCGATCTGGCTATTATAGTATTATCTTAGTATTATGCATACATTATGATACAGACGTAAAAACACACAGTACATACATACATACATAAGTACATAAAAACATGCATTCATACCTACATTCATACATACATGCATACATACATACATAAGTACATAAAACATGCATTCATACCTACATTCATACATGCATTCCTTCCTCCATTCATCCATGCATGCGTATTGACATACCTACATTTATACATGCATTCCTTCCTCCATTCATCCATGCATGCATGCATGCGTACATACATACATACATACATACATACATACATACATACAATGCCATACGTACATATATGGCTGTTATATGCATATATATGATATATACATACGTACATACATACGTACACACATATGTACATAGATACATACATACGTACACACATATGTACATAGATAACTACATACAAACATTCCTGCCTACCTAATACATACGTACATGCATACTTAACGTCGGTGAAAATCCAACAAAACAGTCTGGCACATTCATGCTTTTTTTTTTTTTTCCTTTTTCTTTTTTCGAGTTGAACGTAGCGAACATGACAACATACAGCACAGCCTTGCCAGACTCTCCGTTCAGGCAGATTGATGTGGCTGGCTACGGTCATGACCGTACTAGTAGTCATGTCATTGGATATCCATGGCTGGGTGGTGTGTGGAGTGGATTTTATGGCTGCGACCAGCCAGTTTCTCAGACTTACCGCCATTCCTGTCAGGGGTTCGTACCAAGTACCAACAATGTGCTAGGATTGCAGGGCAGTGTGAGTAAAGTCGACCCCTCTTTTCTCTCTTTGGGTACTAATCGCTAACTCTGGGTGACGTGACGAGTCCTTAAAAGTTAATACCGTTTATCCACCAGTCAAATGCATCCTGATCAGACTCTTGGGGTTTAACCTCCTGACGAGTCAATGACAGTCTGACAAAACAGTCAGACTTTCATTTTGTCAGACTTTTATAAATGTTTTTTTTTTTTACCAAGGCAGTCGATGAAAGTCTGACAAAAAACAGTCCATGAAAGTCTGACAAAAACAGTCAATGAAAGTCTGACAAAAAGTATGTCGTTGTTTTCGCTTTACGCAACTCCACAGAGTCATGCTTTTTTTTTTTTTTTGTGTGTGTGTGTGTGGAGTTGTGTGTGGAGTCACGTAAAGCGAAAACAACGACATACTTACATACACACATGAGGCCATGTCCCAAGTCCAACTCAAGGGAATTGATCCCCTGATCTTCCAGAAGTGACGGCGACAGCAGATACATATCCGTCGGAAGTCCTAGTCGCCCTCAGACCCAACAAGTCTCCCGCACACTATAAAATAAAACGGGTATAATTTTTTCTTAAATGCATTATGCATAGTCATACAGGGAGTCAGTTGCAGTCTCAAAGAGTCCAATTTCACTCTCAAACTCAGTCTTAAACCTACCTAGTCTCAAACACAGTCTCGAACGCAGTCTCAAACTCAGAATCACATTCTGTAATGACCCGCCAAAAACACAGACTGAGAACACTGCTGATTTCTGGGATTTGTTACTGGAATGAATGCCTTGCTTCCCGCATTCTGCTGTGGTCCCAAGTCTGTGTGTGTGCGTGCCTGCTGGTTTGCATGCCTGTCTGAAGTGCTTGCCGGTTGGGTGTGTGTGTGCGTGTGACCCGCAAGGGCACTTGTTGGTTGCAAGGCCCGCCGGGCCGGTACTTACCTGTGGCCGTGATTGTGAGGGTTGCAGGGGGGTAAACACTCAAGTAGCGGTGGG